ACGGAGGGGGAGGGGCCTGACGACATGTACCCAGAACCTCCCGCGACACTGTTTTGCATCATCCGGGATCTCAACCCAGAATTCCAATGGGCGGCGGAGACTGCGGGAACTGTGGGATAGCTACCCATAGTGCAATGCTCCGGAAGTCGATGCTAGCCTCGGTACTGTGGACGCGGTCCGCCGACTAGAGCACTTAGAGCATTTTATGTGGGGACACACACCATCGGCTGTATACAACTGATTTCTATAAAACCGGCTTCTATAAATTCGAACTAATTTCGTAGTGTAGACATACCCAAAGAACTATTGTTATAGTAAAAAGCTGTTATTTTTCAGACACTGAAACTAAATAGTTTTGTCTGAAACCAAAAATTTTCTTTTCCATTCTTCAAAATATGAATATTATGGTGGGGTTTGTTTTTTGGTGTTTAGTCTTCAACTGAAACTTGTAGTTGTGCCAGTGGACTCTTTTTGATTTGTAACTTCCTAAGAGGAGGAAAGTTGAGTAACTAGCATGAGAAACAACTGTGCATTCATTTTATATTTTTAAATATAAAGCTTTTATTTTGAGAAAATAGTATGTCTTTTAAATTTTGAAAAATCCATTGTTACAGAGCCTTAGGGAATTAAGAGCATAAAACTCATTGACTCTTAAACATCCTTGCCTTAGTTCAGCTTTTATATTTTGTAACTCAATGTTTGATGGCTACACTGCCCTAATTCAGAACAGTAATAATATTTCCACTAGTGACTTCCTGTTGTTGTGCTTCCACTTTCAGTTTTTTTTATTTAGAATGTAAATATAAAGCCCTGAAGCTGAATTTCTAAAATCATTCTGCATGCCTTATAGGATTGAGTATTGGGGCTTTTGACTGGCAGAACTTTTTCTTTTAAGTTAGCATATCTTTGTAGTTAAGACTACAAACTCAAAGTATTGAATATCAACTGCCAGTAAAAGGAAAGTCACTTTTATTGTGACCTTCAGCAAACCCTAGTTGAAGGTTATTCACTGTTATAGCAAATGTTCAGTTATGTAAAGTGTCACATTATTTTAGCTTCAGAAAAGAGGCCATGAAACAGTCTACTGTGTGTATTAAACTAAAATTTTAAAGAAGTAGAATTGCTCCCTCCACTACAATTCCTTTGCAGCTTTAGGTTTCTATCCTTTTTCCTGAGGTTTGCGTGAAGGGGAGAAAAGAGGAAGCTATGCTACTGGGAGAGAAGCGGGAGAGCATTCTTGTACTGGATAGCAGCAACGTAGTTCAGACCATTTCTTTTATGATCTAAAAAGTGAATCACGTTAGTTTTTAAGTATAACTCTTAGTCCCATACTAACAGCGGTGTTATGGTGAATGAAATATGGAAATTGAAGTGGGAAAAATAAATGTATCTGAAATATGACAGTTAAATGTTTTTGTTAACCTCACCCAAGAACACTTTGTTTGTAACCGTTCATTGACTATTTTGATTAAGCTTATGCATGCTACACAATTTAGGGTGCATTCACATCCTTCTTAAAGTGAAATTTAATGGCAGATCAGAGACTGGAACGGTTGCAGATTGTTTTTTTTTTTTTCCTTTCTCCCCAAACAGAGTTGTATTAAGTGGAAAATTTCAGTCTCCTGCTTCTTCGCCAGTAAGCATTCTCCTCCTTAAAAGGACAGATCCTTAACAATTTTCGCTTGCCATTACATGCGTAACTTTCTCTTCATAGATCAAGCATTTGCTGGGGGAATCAGTTATTTTTCAGGGAACATCATTATGTATACATCTTCGTATTTAACTATTTTTAAAACACTAGCGCCTAAAACGCTCTGTTAAGTGTATATAAATATTTTAGCATGTTACATTAAACAAGACATTTTTCTTTATTTCGGCCTGGCATGTTAATGCAATATTGGCTGAGCTTTGTAATTTTTTCCATTGTGAAAACTGTTCAAAAAAGTCTATTTTGTCTGATATTTCAAAGAGTGTTCCAATTTAAAATTTACTGAGTGTTTTCCTTTTGTTATGTTTGCCTGGTTGACCTATTTGAGGTCATTTTATAGCTTCAAGGAAAGGAAGACCTTTCTCTTGGTGAATTTATTTAAAGCAAGGCGCCCTCAGTGCACTGAGAGCATTTACAGCTGAATGTGCCAACAATTTCTGGTGTTAAACTGTTTTTCCCTTCCAGTAATTCTCCTGAAATGACAGTTGTATTTTGTTCATTTGACATAAATTTTTTTTAATATTGTTTGGATTTGTAACACTACCACAAAGGTGTCTGATCCAAACAGGTACCAATAAGTTATTTAAAAACAGTTGATGTGGAAAAAAAAATAAAATCAGTACCAGCCCAGCAAGTCGTTAAATCATATAGCAAAAGGTAAATGAGGAAAAGTATCCCACCTTCTGTAAATATTTCCCCTTAAACAACATCTAGGTGTTTTCGTGGAGCACATCTTGCCAGCCAAACTTCCCTTTGGTTACGTCTTCCATAGAGTGACCAGATGAGAGAAAATATCGGGACATCGGGGTGGGGGTGGAGTGCTGCCGGCAGAGCAAAAAAAAAAAAAGGCCAAGTGTTGCTGGCAGAGCGAAATATCTGGACAAATTGTGTCCTGACGAAAGATTGGTTGGGACGTGGGACAAACACCTAAAAATCGGGACGGTCCCGATTTTATTGGGACGTCTGGTCACCCTACGTCTACCTGCCGTTAGACCTCTGCAGCAGGCCCCTGTCTCAGGCTCATGGGGCCCAGACTAAGGAGCTGTTTAATTGTGGTGTAGATGTTTAGGCTCTGTGTGCAGCCAGAGCTCTGGGACCTTTCCAGGGTCCTAGAGCCCGGGTTTCAGCCTGAATCTGAACATCTACAATGCAGTTAAACAGCCCAAACCAGCTGGAACGGACCAGCTGCAGGTGTCTAATTGCAGTGTAGACATACCCTTTGAAGCCAAGGAAGCTCCAGCTCAGGCTTCTCCAGTGTTTCTAAAGATAGGCAGGACACAGGCTATTTAGGGCTTTATAGGTATATACCAACATGTTACGTTCCAACCACAGACAGCCATGACTGATCATAGAGCATTTGTATTATAGGTGGGGGGGATTAGTACTCCCTATAATTAAGGTTGCTTAACACTTCCTATGTAAGGCACTGTTTTCAGTTGCGTATAACTAAGGCTATGATTAAGTCATGGAGGTCGATGGAAGTCATGGAATCCATGACTTCCATTGACCTCCGTGACATTTTTGCCCTGGAGGTGGAGCTCCCAGCCAGCACCCCTGCAGCTCCTCACCCCTGCCCTGGTGGGGGGGAACCCCCTGCAGCTGCCCAGTGTGAGAGGGGAGGGGTCCCACTGTCCTGCTTGATTGTTTGGGTCAAAGAAATGTATAGACTAGATGTTCCTACAACAAGGGGTTTCTGTAAGAACGTCATTGGAATATGGTTTGAACTAACAATGGACTGAGATTAGCAATGGACTAAACAGAAGTAGCAGCGGGTGCAGAGCGCTAGTGGTAGTATCTAATTGCCATAACATAGTTTTGATTTATGAGTTTGTGGTGGTGTCCTGGGGTAGAGGAGAGACTGAAATGGTAGACTGGGAAGGGAGCAGAATGACGGAAACTGGTGATGAATTAATTATTTTGTAGTCCAAGCAAGCAAACAGCAATTATTAGAAAGGAATTATCACTAAAACTTTTTTTGCTGTGTAGATTTTGATGTATCACTCCAACAATAAGCCAAATTGTTTACTTTTAATTATTCAAACTTTTAAATTCTTTATTGTACATCTGCTGCTCTTGTTTCCGCAGCTTGTTCATATTGTTTGCTATGTGTTATGTAGAACAGAATACTTTATGAATTGGCAGGATGTAGAGGGTATATTCCTGATTCTTAGACATAACTAATATAACTTTGAGGATTTCAAGTGAGGCCATTGATCTAATGCTAGTTAATAGTGTTATTCTCCCCCCTCCCCGCAAAAACAAAACTAACCCCCCCACCCTTTTTTATCTCAAAGATAACAAATTTCCTTAAAGCAGCAAATATCATATTTTCTCATGTTGCTATTCTACCTCCAGAGAATCATGTAAGATGGATATTAAAAAAAATTATAGTGTTCTGTTCAATCCTTTCTTGGCAGAATTATCCGGGCTTTTTGTCCAAAAGAAATCTTAATTTCTATTTTGATGGAAAAATTAGGTACTAAATGGCCATTTTTTTTCATTATTGGTCACTCGGGTTTGGAATTCAGAACATAAAGATGCTCAGAAAATGTGGTGCCATAACCAGGGTAGCGTCTAAGTGCCAGGGACAGCATTGGTGCCTGGGTGGTGCATTCTGTAGGGTAGATCCTGCCATGGCGTGATGTGGAGGCCCTTAAGTTATTGAGTAATCCTATTATCCCCAGGGATTTGTTTACCTTTTTTCTTGAGGCTAGAAAGCATATATTAACTTGTTTTCATTTCTTCTTCAGGGTACATAATAAAGAGAATGCTGGAGCTGAATATATTGAAAAGTACAGACAACTGGAGGCGCTAGAATTGGACAAATTTGACAGCGTTCACTTTATCTGTGGACCAGGTGAACAATGAATGCTCTTTTCCCCACTTCTGATCAGAACATTAAAAAAAACAAAAAGATTAAACTATGGGGTCTCTTTGTGGAATATTATGTCTGCATTTGTTGTATTTTGTTTAAGGATGGCCTGGTATTAACAAGTGAACAGTTGACTTGCATCTTCACACAATCCACTTATACATGTATGTGCACAGATGCAGTGCGCTTTAATAAGGTTATATATACTTAATTTAGGATTGCAATATATGCATATATTTGTGTGAGAAGGTTTCTCCTTGTTTACTTAAAGAGATGGTTTGTGGTAATAATTTGGGCCTAGTAAGCCTTTCCCAATTGTAAGTCCAACTGTGGGAAAGTAGACTAAATATAAAATAGTCCAATCACCTGTAAAAGCTACAAATAAAAGATGGACTGAATTAGTCCAAACAAAAAGGCCTACTGATATAACTCAAGCACTGTGTTGAGATGTCATGCCTGGTAAACAAAAGGAGTGTGGAATTGGAAACTAATGGCCCCAAATTGGTGGGTTCTAAATTAAGCCTAATTGGTGGATAAAATGAGAGAATGGGCTATTATCCCCATCACTCTCTTTTGGGGTCCTTAAAAAAAAATAGTAGTCTTTGTTAGGGAGAGACTCAAGTAGGCTGGCTGGGAGACAGGTGGACTGGAAAGAGTGAGCTTTCACCATCATGGCTGCCATTTCCACTGTGGCCTGGGACCTTGGGATTCACCATCAGACCATTGGGCCTTCACTATCCTGAGCCTGAGGGATGTACAGGCCAGAGAGAGGGACCCAGATGACATTGCCACCTCCCCTGGCTTTGGCTAAATCCTGAACACTGCCTGGAATGTGAGACTTTGTCCACCCCCTGCTTTGCTTCCTTCACCCACCATATTTCTTCTTTTGTATCTTTTTGTCATCTCTTTAATTTAAAGAGTTGGTTTCGTCAGACAAGACTGTATCCTTTGCAACACTGGTGAAAGCCTCATGACCAAAGAAGCAGCTAAAGCAATCCCCTAAATAGCCCTGATACTGGTAAAAGTTTGTGAGGTTGCAGAGTGGCTGATGAGACTGTTTGCTGGGCTGTGTTTCTCTAGCAGTGAGGTTGCAAATAGGAGTCAGCACCAGAGACATTAGCTGCATTTTCTATCTTGGCTGTTCTTTGCTCGTCCCTTTTATGTGTGTTTGTTTTCTAGGAAACATGCTCTGGAGCTGTTAAAGTCCAATCCTCTCAACTGAATTTCTTCTCCCACTCTGCCCCCCAAAAGGATAGTTATTACCCTCTTTAATACTATCGGAAAAACTGTCCAACAATGATTTTTTTTCCTTTTAAAAACTCTATAGCTAAAGTGAAAATGAATAAGGAATATCGTTAAAATGAAAGTCTTAATACTTACATTTCAAACACTAGCTGTTTTTCCTTTCTCTGTATCTTTAATAAAAGTTTTTAAAAAATTTAATGGTTTGCTTGCCATAGGACTAACCATGGGACTAAGCATGTTGAGGTCTCTGTGCTCAAAACCTTAACCAGGACTCTTTAGAGTTGTACAGTGACTGGGTCTCATTAACACCTTTGACTCGCTGGGCCCATTTAATCAATCAAAATGAACACAATGGGTCTAATATAGAAATTAACTCTTTATTCTATATTGTTCCAGTTACCAATCTAATTGATTGTCGTTTCTCTCGGCCTCTTTTCCTGCACTGCTGTCATCCACTTTAATTTATTTCTGTGTGTGTGTGTCTCCCCCTTCAAAATGCCCTTAGTAGAGGGAAATTTGACTGCACCACTCTCCCAGCAGCTCTGGTAGAAGGAGTGTGAAACTGACTAGGATGTCAAGACAGCTCAACTTCAAACAGTTACCATGCTACTTAACCTCAAAATAAGTTAATGTAGGACAGCCCTTTTTTTGATAAAGATACAGTGCATGCCCTAGTCTTTTCATCTCTTTCAGTGACGAGGTGAGAGGGCATCAAGTTGGCCCAGTTTGTGAAGTTTCATAAAAGAAATTAGCTAAATAGTCATTTAATTGCAGAATGCCTAGTTATCCATTATATATTAATAGTGATTATGGAAAAATATTTGTCATTTGTACATCTTTTCCCTTGCTAACACAAGATTTCTACCTAAAGTATATTTTCTAGTGCTTTCACCAATTTATTTTTAAATGAGATTGGTGCTTGCAATACTTTTCATGAAAGAAATAGGAAGTTTATATATTCCAGCTGAAAAATCTTTACTGATATTCTGCCTGCTAAATTTATCTTTTCCTAATATCCTTCCATTTCTCCTATTTCTGTTTTATTGGTCTGCCCTAAAACTTGTCCTTCATGTTTATACCCTCAATATACTATAAATAGTTACATCCCTCCTTTAGTCCCTTCCTTTCAGTCATTTACTGAAACAGCATTTATTAATTATCCCACTGAATATAAATAAAAACACGGAATAGTATATGGATGCTCTCCTGTTATTTCTCTCGTCTGCTTCCTCCCATCCCTTTTCTTTTCCTACTGTTCCACTTTTTCCATGGTGTAGGAGCTCAGTTCATGCAGATTCCTGTGTTGCAGTCAATCTCTTCTGATCAGTGCTCTGCCCCCAGCTGTATAATATCAATTGAGGGGAAACTAAACAGACTGGATAGTGATGGGGACTAGAAGATGCCCTGTGGCATTGTGGGACAAAGCAGCAAAAACCTAGCAAGACTTTCCATATCACAAAACATTCAAGACATTTCAAATATATGGCTGCTACCACTTCTTCCAAATAAGCAGATTCAAGGTTCCTATGGCTGGATAGTGTTAAGAGAAAACAGCATCTGAGTTTGAGAAATGTGAGATTAATACCTCAATCATAAATGTATTTTTTTTTAAAACGCAAAACAAAGCACCTATTTTAAAATAAATTTTACAGATAGTAAAATGTTAACGACTGCAGATTTTAGGAGCACTAAGACACATAACTAACAGTTGTTTTTGTGTGTTTTGTTTGTGGTACTTGTTTTACTTGATTTAGGGACATGGGAATTGTCCTAGTGAATCAGACTGGTGGTCCATCTAGTTCAGTATAGTGATTCAGAGGAAGGTCCACAAAACCTTTCCATAGGCATTTAAGGAATAACCTCCTCAGAGGGGAAGCTTCTTCCTAACCACAGTTGGTTACTGGCTGGCGTGCACCTAAAGCATGAGGGTTTATATCCCTTCCAAATCTTATTTTTTTGTCGTTGTTGTTGTAATGTGGAATGTTCTTGTTATGCATATAAATGGCCAGTCTTTTTTTTTTTTTTACTCCTGCTAAGCAGTTGGGTTCAATGATAACTTGTTGCAGTGTCTCACTACCTAAACGCATTGCATTTATAAAAAGAGATCACTTTCTTTTTGGTTTAAATTTGCTGCTTTTCAGTGTAATTGAATGTCCCTGTACATTTGTATTCCAAGAGAGGGTAACTAAGAATGTCCAAACTATCTTTTCTGTATGGAGAGTGGAGGCTATTGAGTCCTCCAAAAGGTCCACTTACAATCTTGGCCCATGCCAGACACTATACAACAGAATACAGGTCATATGGCAAGTTCAAGGAGGTTGTGAAGTACAACAGGAGGAAAACACCTTTTTGCCAGTGATAGCGAGAGCTAATCCAGGGTCAAATAGCCACCCTCTGTTGTCTCAGAGCTATATACAGCTCCACAGTATTATCAGTAAAAGACTCCACTCTGAAGCCCCAGCCCTCCAAAGGGGATACTGCTGCGAAGTCACCTACAGAGGAGCACCCATAGGGACGCTATTTGAAAAAGAAGAGGAAGTTACTCACCTTGTGCAGTGGTGATAGTTCTTTAAGATGTGTATCTTTTTGGGTGCTCCATGACCCGCCTTCCTCCCCTCTACTTCGGAGTTTTCAATCAGACAGCAGCATTGCCGTTACTCGGTACCAGGACTACAGTACTGGGCATGTCCCAGTCCCCAGAATCATCAGCGGCATTGGGATATTCACCCACCCTATTCCAGCGAGGAGTCAGACAGTGACCAAGATGACAACCTCTCTCTGGCCTCACACCATGCCTCATTATTACAACAATGGGGATTTTCCCAACTACACCGATGCTCCAGTCTCCAACCTTCCGGGTATGGTCATCTGTGGGTGCTGCCACCCATGCTCTTTCCTTTGCACCAGTCGCAGTACTTGGACCCATGGGCAGCCTATAGACACTATTCTTCTCAGGCATGTAGTGTCTCCTACAGAGAGAGAGAGAGTCTCCTAGGCATCTCTTACAGCTACTGTGTCCAGAGCCCCAGAACTTCAGGAGGAAACTTTTGAGGAGCAGGAGGCCAGACTAGAAGAGGAGACTACACCACTGGCAAATGTCTCTTCCTCCTCACTGGATGAGGTGGTGATGCCCCCTCTGCCATCACTGGCCGATGATTTTAAGCTTTTTCAGGAGTTCACTAAGAGGGTTGCTGACACACTGCAAATTGCCCTCAAAGAGGTGAAAGACCTCCACCACAAATTTGCTGGACATTTTTCACACCTCCTCCTCTTCAAGAATTGCCCACCCAGTCAATGAGGTGCTTTTAGATTCTGCCAAGGTTATCTGGCGACACCAGCCTCTATTGTGCCAACATGTAAAAGGGCATACAAGAAGTACTACATGCCCCCCAGAGAGGCAGACTTTCTTTTTATGCACCTTTAGCCTAACTCTATTGTCATGGATGCTGTTAATTCGTGAGGAAAGCAGCACTATGCTAAAACAACCCCTTATGACAGAGACTGGAAAAGGCTGGACTTATTTGGGAGGAAAGCGTATTCTTCAGCAACTCTGCAGTTCAGGTTTTCAAACTACCAAGACTTAATGGCAAAGTATGACCACATGATTTATAGAGAACTCAGCACCTTTACTGACCACTTGCCAGAAGCACAAGAAGAACAATATCAAGCCATCACCTATGAGGGCCAGCTGATAGCAAGAACAGTGCTATTGACTGCACTGGATGCCTTGGATACAGTGG